GTATTTGACCCCCTCTCAATCAGAAAGATTTCTGGCTCCCAGGTGTCTTTTATACAGGTAACGAGCTGAGATTAGGAGTACACTCTTAAAGGGAGTGCTCCTAATCTCAGTTTGTTACCTGTATAAAAGACACCTGTCCACAGAAGCAATCAATCAATCAGATTCCAAACTCTCCACCATGGCCAAGACCAAAGAGCTCTCCAAGGATGTCAGGGTCAAGATTGTAGACCTACACAAGGCTGGAATGGGCTACAAGACCATCGCCAAGCAGCTTGGCGAGAAGGTGACAACAGTTGGTGTGATTATTCGCAAATGGAAGAAACACAAAATAACTGTCAATCTCCCTCGGCTTGGGGCTCCATGCAAGATCTCACCTCGTGGAGTTGCAATGATCATGAGAACGGTGAGGAATCAGCCCAGAACTACACGGGAGGATCTTGTCAATGATCTCAAGGCAGCTGGGACTATAGTCACCAAGAAAACAATTGGTAACACACTACGCCGTGAAGGACTGAAATCCTGCAGCGCCCGCAAGGTCCCCCTGCTCAAGAAAGCACATATACAGGCCCGTCTGAAGTTTGCCAATGAACATCTGAATGATTCAGAGGAGAACTGGGTGAAAGTGTTGTGGTCAGATGAGACCAAAATGGAGCTCTTTGGCATCAACTCAACTCGCCGTGTTTGGAGGAGGAGGAATGCTGCCTATGACCCCAAGAACACCATCCCCACCGTCAAACATGGAGGTGGAAACATTATGCTTTGGGGGTGTTTTTCTGCTAAGGGGACAGGACAACTTCACTGCATCAAAGGGACGATGGACTGGGCAATGTACCGTCAAATCTTGGGTGAGAACCTCCTTCCCTCAGCCAGGGCATTGAAAATGGGTTGTGGATGGGTATTCCGGCATGACAATGACCCAAAACACACGGCCAAGGCAACAAAGGAGTGGCTCAAGAAGAAGCACATTAAGGTCCTGGAGTGGCCTAACCAGTCTCCAGACCTTAATCCCATAGAAAATCTGTGGAGGGAGCTGAAGGTTCGAGTTGCCAAACGTCAGGCTCGAAACCTTAATGACTTGGAGAAGATCTGCAAAGAGGAGTGGGACAAAATCCCTCCTGAGATTTGTGCAAACCTGGTGGCCAACTACAAGAAACGTCTGACCTCTGTGATTGCCAGCAAGGGTTTTGCCACCAAGTACTAAGTAATGTTTTGCAGAGGGGTCAAATACTTATTTCCCTCATTAAAATGCAAATCAATTTATAACATTTTTTACATGCGTTTTTCTGGATATTTTTGTTGTTATTCTGTTTCTCACTGTTCAAATAAACCTACCATTAACATTTTAGACTGATCATGTCTTTTGTCAGTGGGCAACTGTACAAAATCAGCAGGGGATCAAATTCTTTTTTCCCTCACTGTAGCTCAGTTGGTAGGGCATGGCGTTTGCAACGCCAGGGTTGTGGGTTCAATTCCCACGGGGGGACAGTATGAAAAATCAAATCAAAAATAATGTATGCACTAACTGTAAGTCGCTCTGGATAAGAGCGTCTGCTAAATGACAAAAATAAAATAAAATAAAAAATAATAATCTCACTGATGCCATGTAATAATAATAAAAAAGTGTTTGCATGGTTCACACCTAAGGAAATGAATTTTCATTTGTTCTATCTGTGCTTGGAATTCAAAAAAGTTTACCCAAAATAAGCTTGCAGTGTTATTAAAAGTTTTTGTAAAAGTAAAAAAATAAATAAAATTTAACACTGAATGTTGAAAGGAAGTTATTAAAAAACCTCCAAATAAATTATAGTTTCCGTTCTCAGTGTCAATAAAACCTCCCAGGAAAATGTTCAAGGTACCAGAGTAAAAACGTTCTCAAATCCTCCCTGCATCCAAAAAATAAACATTTCCAGAACAGGCGACATTTTCACTTCTGTTCTCAGAATGTTTAAAATATGTTATTTTACCGGTCAGGAAACGTATGGTTTCGTTCTCACAACCAATGTGAAACCAAAAACATACGTTCCCACAACTTCTAAGGAAAAACCTCTGCCCTCATACAGCAATCAGTGCCATGGGGCATTCTGGCTATCTGTCGGATGTCATTAGCTGAACCTTAACTTAAAAAGGCCAGCTATTCACGTTCTACCCTTTTGAACACACATTATGTGGATGTATCTCAGTGTTCAGGAGTCATCAGCAGAGAAAAGGCTAACTCCAGTTAATATGATACATATTGGGCACACATAAATATGATTCATTGGACTGTGCTTGATTAAATATGGCAACTCAGCCAAGGGGGGGTTATTTGCTTTACGATCGAATGCTCATTGCTGATTTTCACTTTTCAACTTCTGTTTACCTTCCCTGGGCTCAGAGACGAGTGATGATGATAATTGTGCTTTTGACAGGGTAAGAGTTGAAGACAGTGTTTGTGCTTGTTTAGCAGCAGGTGATGTGTGTTGTGAGTGCAGCATTGCAGATCTGTCAGATCTAATATGTGGTAAGAATATGTGGAAATCCCCAGCGGATTGAGAGAGGGAGCATCGCATTTTGAATTTGCTGCTGTTGTATAATGGAGGTGGAGAGGATTGTGTGTGTGCGTGTTCATGAAAGTATTTCTGTGTGAATGTTTATAAATGTGGGATAGATATGGTAACAAGGCAGAGAGAGTGAGGGTTATTGTTTTCACTGTCAAGAGCCCTTTGGGACAATGGTAACATGCACTCAGCAGGCAGCATAATCTCCTCTGTCCCAGCATGCAGCTGTGATGACGCCCACTGTCCTGTCCCAGGATTCTGTTCTGTTCAGGCTGAGCCGTCTGACTGTCAGTCAGGGGAATGTCTCTAACACTCTCTGCTTAGACCAGCTCACACTCCTCTTCTCTGGAACAATGTACAATGAACTACGTTGTTTTCTACATATGTGACCGACCGGCTCGATTCAGTCTTATGTAGCAAATTATTTTACATTGGGTAAAAGTAGAGACTCAGAGCTAGAACATGGTATATCATACACTGCAGTTGAGGAACAATGGGAAAGTAATTCTGCTTTGAAAGTTGATTAACTTGTAACCCCACTTTTGAGAGAATGGCCTTGAATGTTTTGGTACACCTACTGGAGAGCTCTTCTTTGTCTACACCCATTCAGCATCGTTCACACCCTACACTAGTTCTTGGCCTATATCCTAATCTGACTATGGTGCAGGTCATGTTGTTCTTCACATTACTGTCTCTGGTAAACACATACTATATCAAATAAAATCAAAATGTATTTGTCACATGCACAGGATACAGAAGGGGTAAACATGTACAGTGAAATGGTTATTTGCATAGTAGCAATATCAAAAATAGGAAGTGTCCAGATAAATATCTTATAATCATTAGATGATTCATATTTACAGATGGCATACAAGTTTGTTATAAAGGCACATGAAAGTTCACATGTTCCAGAAGGCATTTCTGCCAAAAAATGCATTTTGATTAAAAAAAGTTTACGTTCAAATGCCTCTCCTGTGAAGTAGTGACGTGCGACATACACCTAGTTTCCTGAAACGAGTCACATATGCCGTTTGTGTGAGGATAATTATCACACTACACACAAAAAAATTAACTTTCCTGAACAAAGACAGATTCGTCCGTCGGACTGCCAGATGGTGAGGCGTGATGCATCACTCCAGAGAACGCATTTCCACTGCTCCAGAGTCCAATGGCGGCTACAACTGACACCACTACAACTGACGCTTGGCATTGCGCATGGTGATCTTAGGCTTGTGCTCGGCCATGGAAACCCATTTCATGAAGCTCCCGATTAACAGTTCTTGTGCTGACAATGCTTCCAAAGGCAGTTTAGAACTCGGTAGTGAGTGTTGCAACCGAGGACAGACAATTTTTATGCGCTTCAGCACTAGGCGGTCCCGTTCTGTGAACTTGTGTGGCCTACCGCTGTTGCTCCTAGACATTTCCATTTTACAATAACAGTATTTACAGTTGACCGGGCAGTACTAGCAGGGCAGAAATTTGACGAAACTGACTTGTTGGAAAGGTGACATCCAGTCATAGGATGCCACGTTGAAAGTCACTGAGCTCTTCAGTAAGGCCACTACTGCCAATAAGGTCTATGGAGATTGCATGTCTGTGTGCTCGATTTTATACACTTGTCAGCAACAGGTGTGGTTGAAATAGCCGAATTCACTCATTTGAAGGGGTGTCCACATACTTTTGTGAATATATAATGTATTTTAAGATTAATGCACTAACTGTAAGTCGCTCTGGATAAGAGCGTCTGCTAAATGACTAAAATGTAATATATGGTATTTGAATCAGCCCCTTTATTCAGTAAATTGGGATTACATATTCGATTCACCATCTCTCTCACGTACTCTCTCCAGTGCTCCTATCTCTATGCACATGACTGAGAAGGAGGGAAGCTTATTTTCCTGGAGAGATAGATCTTGGAATGGAACCATCCCGAAAAAGATTAGCTCTCTGTGGCCAGCCCCCATGTTCCACAGCTGCTCTCTGCTCTCTACTTGTGACAGGTCACACACTGTTCTGAGTTGTTCTGGGTGCAGGATGTTCTGAAAGCGCTTCCAGAGACCTTGTGTTACCCCGGCCCTGAGGAAGGGGAGAGGGGAGGAGACAGGAAAGGAGTGCACCGTGCAGGCTGAAGAATGTCACTCAATAAGAGCAGAGCAGAGCCAGATGGATAGATCGATAGAAGGCTCTGAGCAGGGCCTGTGTCAGTGTGGGTGAGAGGTTGTCTCTGTCTGCTCCCTCCAGGTTTCAGGCTCCAGACCCGGTCTCTGACACTGTGCCTGGAGGAGGGAGAGTTATGTACTCACACAGCTATCTGGGACAAAGGCCTGGATCTGTAAACAACATCAAACACTTCAGCTACTGAAACTAGCCTATTGAGGAACTAGTTTAAATTAGTATGTGTGTGCGTACTCACTTTACTCAAGTGTGACAGGGTGTTTCTGTATTGTATCATATGATGACTGTATGCATGGTGTTTGTGTTACAGATATCTGGTCGTTGGGGGTGATCCTCTACATGCTGGTGTGTGGACAGCCCCCTTTCCAGGAGACCAATGACAGTGAGACGCTCACCATGATCATGGACTGTCGCTACACCGTCCCAGCCCATGTCTCCGCAGACTGCAAAGAGTGAGTACCACCCATCACCTCCAGAGTTAGGCCCCCAGCTCTCACACATCCATGCATTGACCTTAACACGGTGTCATGTTATATGACAGGCACAGTGACCTATATACAATGCAGTGAGAATATGTCATATGGTTTTATAATTCTGTCAGATGCTGTGGTTATATGACAAGAATACTTACACACATAATAATCATGATGCCAGTCAGTTGTCAGCTTTCCGTGTTTTCGAATGCAATGCCCCAACCTGTCCTACCTCAGTCTGCCCCAGCCTAGATCATGCCCAGAAACGATAAACACATGGGAAACCAGAGGTGGAGTGAGAATCTTATCAACCCCATGTTGCCTATCGCCCAAACTCTAAACCTCACAGCTAACTGACAACCTTGTACAAACAGCCTTCTGGACACGGTGTACCCTGTGATCATTGGCTGTTTTTGTCAATTTTACATTTACATTTTAGTCATTTAGCAGACGCTCTTATCCAGAGCGACTTACAGTTAGTGAGTGCATAGATTTTCATACTGGCCCCCCGTGGGAATCGAACCCACAACCCTGGCGTTGCAAACGCCATGCTCTACCAACTGAGCTACACAGGACTGTGTAGCTACATGGGGGCAAGCCAATCACTGAATAGGGAATACAATACTGAAAGTTGATTTGAGGGGACCAGCCAACCAGTGGGTAGAATAAAGAGATAAAGGGAAAGTTCATGTCAGGCATTCTAGGAAACTGAGTGAGTTGGCTTCAACCCATGCTGTATTGGATTGGTATGGGTACTATCAATCCCTGCATACCTAGTCCATTCCACATCTGACCCCAGATCTCACCCCAGCTCTGGTATCTATTAAAGATCAATCTTGACAAAACTGTATTTGTTTTAAAAGTGATCTATTAGCTGAGCCCCTTGGTAGCAGTGCTATTTGTGGTTGAGACTCAAGAACACCCCTGCAGCCCCTGAACCCCAGACCAGAGACCTCGCAGATCTTGCGGTTCTGAATCAGATGATTGTGCCTCAGACATCTGGATGACTGGCTCAGGAACAGTTCCAAACATAGAACCTGGGTCACATGACCAGGGCCCTGATGAAAGCTCCTTTAAAGGAAGATGATTCCTTGCTAAACAGAACAGTTTAGTCCTGCGGACACCATCAACTGAGCGAAAGCAGAGACCTCCTCTCTCTCTCTCTCTCTCTCTCTCTCTCTCTCTCTCTCTCTCTCTCTCTCTCTCTCTCTCTCTCTCTCTCTCTCTCTCTCTCTCTCTCTCTCTCTCTCTCTCTCTCTACACTCTTAATTTGTATTTAGTGCTTTACTCTACAGTAGTGTTGTGAGATATGCATGGGTCAGTTAGGACAGTATGTAAATTATTAATTTCTATAAATATTTAAGTAGTTGTATGAATAGGATATACCAAACAACAACAGCATTATTGGAGGTTCAGAGAAACATGGGTACTTACACAGTATAGATGGATTTAAGGGCAAATTGAACATTTCTGATAAGGGCATTGGGGAGGATGGAGCCGTTAGTCTGATTTGGTGATCCTGGTTTTACATGGTTAAACCACGTAAAGACACGCGCACACACAGACAGACACACTATGCCATGCCTCTCAGCAAATTATCTGCCTGGCCCTGCATGGATGCACATAAAGACTGTCTGAGGTCTGCAGGCGCTCATAAATATATGAGATAGACAGTTTGATCTCATTCCCTCTCTTATCACAGAAATATGGGGTTATGTGCTTTGCCTGTCAATTACTGAATCCGTGTACATGAGAACTTCACTCACTTGTACTGGTGTTCCAAAAGGAGATATTTATATATAGTATCTGGTCCATAGAAGATGAATTCTCTCTCTCTCTCTCTCTCTCTCTCTCTCTCTCTCTCTCTCTCTCTCTCTCTCTCTCTCTCTCTCTCTCTCTCTCTCTCTCTCTCTCTCTCTCTCTCTCTCTCTTTCAGTCTGATCTCCCAAATGCTGCAGAGGGATCCATCTAATCGTGCCTCCCTGCAGGAGATCGAGAACCACCCCTGGCTGCTAGGGGTTGACCCCTCGCCAGCGGGGCACAGTGCCGCCCCCCTCACCTCCCATCGTAGCCTGTCCCCAGAGGAACACGAGGTCATCCTCCAGGCCATGACCAGTGGCAATATTGCAGACCGCGATGCCATCCAAGAGTGAGGACTTCTCTACATCTCCCTCTCCTTCCCATATTCTCTCTATCCTCTTCCTTTGTACTCTGCCACAGATCTGTACGTTTTTCAAGCAAGAGAACTTGGTGAAATGTGTTATGGATGTAGTTCATTTTGATAGTTAATTTTTTATTTTAAGTGTATACCAATCATTGTGTTGCACCCAGGGCTCTAGAGGCGGACCGATACAACCACATCACAGCCACGTATTACCTGCTGGGGGAGCGCATCCTGAGAGACAAGCAGGAGCAGCCCAGCGAGATGCCCAAAGTCGACAGTGCGTGGGCCGAGCCACCACAACTCCAGTAAGACCGATTAACATCCCTGACAGCCACAGTACATACTAGGCCACTAACTGATCATGAACACTACTAATGTCCCTGTTTCTTCTATAGGAGGCCACTGTCTGAGCCTCTGGATCTGGAGCAGAGGGGGCTCCATGGACTGCTGCCTGGCTATCCCCGCCGAGGGGTGTCAGAGTCTGGGGACTTCCTGGCCCACAGGCCCCTCCTGCTCCAGCCACAGCCAAGTCGCACAGAGAGCCCCTTCCCTGAGTACAGCACAGGGCCCTGTCTGGGGCTCACCCTGTGTCCCCCACCCCCTGATGAACTCCTGCAGGTCAAAAGCCTGGGAGCCCTGCAGCTGATCTGTGAAGAGGATGAGGAAGAAGAGGAGGAGGAAGAGGCAGTCAAACCACATGTTGGACTTCATAATATTCAAGCACTGCCTCACATAGTAGGCTTGGTATCAACCACAGGGTCTACAGAACAGTCAAGTCCCATGCTCTCAGCTCCAGAGGCTCCACAGAGGCACCCAGTCAGAGTAGTGCCAGGTCAGGGAGAGGAAACAGACCTGTTGGGCACCTCCGTGAAGGAAGCACTGGAGACAGAGAGGGGGGAGGGGGACAGGGAGCAGCAGGACAGGGTTTCCAGCCACAATAGAGATATGGAGCCTGACCAGGTGGCAGCCAGACAGGAACAGGGTATAGTGGAGTCAGAGAAGAAGCCCATGGAGGAAGGGGACATGTCATGTGACCCGCTGAGGCTAGGTAGTCATGTGACTTCAGACCAGCCAATCAATGGTTTAGAAAACCTGGTTCAGACCATGGTAGATAGTCCACTAACCCCTAAAGCTCATCCTCCATGCCTGCCTCGCCTAGGGCGGGTGCAGTGTTGTCGGGGGCAACGAGAGACTCCTAGCCCAGACATCATGGAAGGGGAGGAAGACACTATGCTTGAAAACAACAACAACACCACAGAGTCCAAGCCTAAGCTCCTGGTGCAGGGTGGGGGGTCCACCCCAGGCGCTTCACCCTGCTCTCTGCCACGTAACCACTGCGTGGACCTGGGTCCTGATGGGGTGGAGACAACACGCAAGGTGGGTGGGCCTGGAGGAGAGTCTGAGGGGGAAACGCCGGAGGAGCTCCAGTTGGAGAGATCCCACATTCCACCACAGGTTCCTCTTGGGGTCAGAGAGGCAGGGACCGACCCTGCGGTCAGACTGGATCCTAGGAAGGGGAAGAACGTGAACCTGCGAGACCGCCTGCTGCAGTTCCCCCTCTGTGAGAAGGCCCTGTCCTTCAACATCCAGCCCACCTCCAAGGAGAAACTCCTGCCCTTCGCCCAGTACAACTGCTGCCACGTGCTGTAGGCGGGGCCACCTGTAGATTTACCTCCCTATACCTCCCCACATCACTCACTCACTTTATGGCCTGGCCACGGGGCACAAACTAAGGGTCCTCAAGCCCCTCCAGACAGCCTCGCACCAGGCCCAGAGCCTGTCACCGATCCATCTAGTTCAACACAAAACACCAGAGCAGTCTGGGTCCTGCCTGAACTAGAAGTCTGCATCCGACCTGAACTGAACTATCTTACTGTGACCTCAGACATTTTCTAGCCAATTCTTGTTAGATCTGTGTAGCCCTTACCTCGTTATACTTAGCATCTACTGCTGCTTCCTTTATGAGAAAATAACTCAACTTCTTGTGCTGCTACGTACTGAAGTTTATAAACTGTTTTTTGTGTAGTCTACTTAGACTATCACTATATAGTATATAGCTTTGTATTGATTGCTATTTTAAAAGCCCTTATCGTAGCTCTTCATTTTGCACTAGCTTATCTAGAACTGAGCCCATTTCAGCGTATGGTATGTTGTCACTCTGAGGCCTGCTAGTACAGTGCTATAATTGTAATGTCTAGCATGAAGATGATGCATGCTGTAGAGGGGACAGCTACACTCCCTGCCTCAGCTGCCCGCCTACATTAGCTCAGCTAGCGGACTGATGGAAGTGTTGATGCTATTGACAATGTAGCTGGAAGCATGGTATCATTTAATGCTGGGGGTTACATATGTCAGTGGTGTACAGTCGCAAGGTTTGGGATTTAAAGTGTCTGTAATGCAGGGGGAGCAAAATCTGTGAACAATTTTTGGACAGGGTTTAATATGAGACTTTTGAAAATGGACATATTGACTACGGTAATGCAGGTCTTCCAGATTGTTTGTGTGTATATGTACTTTATTTAAAAATCTTTAATCGTTATTCTTACAAATACTATTGAACCCTTTTATTTTATCGGACAACAGTTTTTTTTTGTCATAGGACAAATCGATAGGTGCGTGATTATAACTATTTTGTGGTATCTAAGTGTGACAGAATGAATCAGTCTCATGAGTGATGACAGATACTGTACATTACCCTGTATTTAAATCCATATTATTTACCACATATGCCTCAGTGTACTCTGGGCCGTTAAACAAACAAACAGTGTCCCTGCATATTGTTGTTGGACTCGCCTGGTGATTTGTGTATATATGTATTTTGTCTGTCTATTGTTCTGAGAGTACATACTGTATACCTATACATGCTATTAAGAGATACCACTTGATCAAATCAGAAATCCTAATCTAGATGGGAACTAGCTATTATGGAAAGAAGAAATGTTATTGTAAAGTGTTATTGTACGAGAGTCCTCAGAAAGCTGTGTTCTTTCCCATCAGTGGGAACCATGGAACAGTGGGACCTGGAAGTCCCACGCTACTTTATGAGAGCAGAATTAATGGCATACTTTCAGACCCCTCGTTGTGGAAGAGAAGAGTGTAGTGATGGACACCGAGCACTAACCTCAGCTGGCACACATTCATATATGATATGGACACTTCTTCCTCCCCTGTCTCCTTCCTCTTCTGTCATTGGACGGGACGGGACGGGGGGGACGGGTGGTCTCCATTCCACCAACCAGCTGTCTCCTCCTCCACACCTGGCCTGGAGTTACTTGACCTGGAAAGTGTCTGTCTGTCTGTCGGCCCATTGACCCTGATTTAAACTCTGACTATAGGGCTGGATTCAATTCGTAGCGCAGAAGATCAGCGTTGTAGCACGGTTGAAATGTAAATGTATTTTTCGATTGAGCCGACATATGCAGCGTTTATCGCGGAAGCATTGCATTTAAAATCTGCGATTGCTACATCCATTTTTTGACTTTTCAATTGGTGATATACCCATTGATTCTTGAAGAATATAACTTATAAATGCCTAATGAGCTTAGTTCAACTGTTGTACCCTATCACAATCCATATTTTAAGCTTTTTTTACCCCATTGTTTGTAAACAAACACTGTATAGCTTCAAAACATGGTTTAAACTATAATTTTAATCTCATGGCTGGTCAGTCCTTGCATCCATAGCTCAGTCTATGAATTCGAGAGTGCTTACATTTCTCCAGCCCCATCCCTCAGCTGTTTACCAAATCAGTGGTGGGGTGGCCAGTGTTGTTTGAACGACAGATTTCACCATTTTAAATTTCAATCATGCTATAACGCTGATTTTTAGCGCTACGGGTTGAATCCAACCCTAGGTCTCGATGAGATTAATTTATTTTTGTATTTATTAATTAAAATGGATTAAACCAGAGATATGGTGTGTGTGATGTGATTTAATGGGGTATGTACTGTAGTAAGGTTAAACCAATGCATTATTACTCCTCTGAAGCTGTCATGGAACCTTGTATTTTTTTAGCAGGTCAGATGAAAGACCAAGTGAATTTCAGTACATTTTGACTAGAGCATAGTCAATCATTTGCCAAGTACAACCATCAGCCTTGCAGTTTTGGATGAATGTAGATAGCATCTGTTCTGAAATATTCATTTTGAAAAGATACTGATAATGCATATATGTAATAGATAGGCCTACACGTATTCCAACAACAAGCTCAACAAATCAAAGGTTTTAAATATGGTTAACTTCAAGTAGAAGTGCACAGATATTATGTGATATCAAGTACTCTCATTGGGTTTGTGATGTGCCTATTACAAGTTAAGCGTACAATGTAACACTGATAATTTGAATGGAACACACTGTGGGAACATTTTACAAAATGATATGCACATTTGCACTTGTGTGATTATGCAGCAAATTAAAAACTAAGTCTAAAGCTACCTATTGTTTAAAAAAAAAAAAACGTATGCTAATGCTGCATTAACACAATGAACATAGCTCTTAGCTCTTCTTCTTTGCATTTCCCTTTAGTCCCTGGACTTCTCTCTACTATCGCCCATGACATGAGAGACCTCTAGTTATGACTGAAGAAGGCCTCCAGAGGGAGATACTGACAGAGTTTCTTGGGGCAGAGAGCAGGCTCTCATGGCACAGCTCCCAGACTTCTCTGTGGATCCTCACAGTCTTCGTCATGGCAGCTGGTTCTAATGAGCCCCCAGGTCCAGAGTCTCCAGACCAACACTTGAAGGGCAACGGGAAACACTAACACCCTCAGGGTTTCCACAGCCTTCATAGCATCTGTAGGAGTCAACGGGAGATTTTTGATTGTCATTGAGCTGATTGTTCCATAAGATTCAGGGCTTTTCTATATTATTAATGATTACTCTAAATCTGACCCCTCTCACCTGCTGCTCAAGAGCTTGCATAGAGTGGAACTCAATCTGTTCCCTCTTTATTCTGACCCAGTCAGGCTAGTCTGGGATCAAAAAGGCTAGAATCATCTTGATCCGGACATGTAGTCCAGTAGATAAGCTCCAAAAAATACCATGTTCGATTTGGTACAAAAGCTTGAGAATTGGCACATCTGTATAATTTTTCATGCTGAACAAAACCTGATCAAGTGTCATTTCATCAAAGCCACAGTTCAGCCTGTAGCGCCTCCTATAGGTCAATGGTGAAAATGCATTTACCTGTATTGACGTTTTGGGTCATGGCTTCCACTGTGTTGGGTCTACATGGCTTCAGGGAGCGCTACATGCTCACCCGGGCTTTGCTGAAATGGCACTATATCAGGTTTTGTTCAGTGTGAAAATCAATTAATCAAATTGATTTATATAGCCCTTTTTACATCAGCAGATGTCACAATGTGCTATACAGAAACCCAGCCTAAAACCCCAAACAGCAAGCAATGCAGATGTAGAAGCACCGTGGCTAGGAAAATCTCCCTAGAAAGGCAGGAACTTAGGAAGAAACCTATAGAGGAACCAGGCTCTGAGGGGTGGCCAGTCCTCTTCTGGCTGTGCCGGGTGGAGATTATAAGAGTACATGGCCATTTAAGGCCAGATTATTCTTCAAGATGTTCAAACGTTCAAAGATGACCAGCAGAATCAAATAATAATCAGTGGTTGTGAGGGTGCAACAGGTCAGTACCTCAGGAGTAAATGTCAGTTGGCTTTTCATAGCCGAGCATTCAGAGGTCGAGACAGCAGGTGCGGTAGAGAGAGAGAGAGTCGAAAACAGCAGGTCTGAGACAAGGTAGCACGTCCGGTGAACAGGTCAGGGTTCCCTAGCTGCAGGCAGAACAGTTGAAACTGGAGCAGCAGCACGACCAGGTGGACTGGGGACAGCCAGGAGTCATCAGGCCAGGTAGACCTGAGGCATGATCTTAGGGGAGGGGAGGCGGAGGGAGAGAGAATTAGAGAGAGCATAATTAAATTCACATAGGACACCAGATAGGAGTAAAAGGAGAATTACACCAGATACAACAGACTGACCCTAGCCCCCCGGCTCATAGACTATTGCAGCATAGATACTGGAGACTGACACGGGTGGGTCGGGGGACACTGTGGCCCAGTCCGATGATACCCCCGGACAGGGCCAACCAGGCAGGATATAACCCCACCCACTTTGCCAAAGCACAGCCCCCACACCCCTAGAGGGATATCAACAGACCACCAACTTACTACCCTGAGACAAGGCTGAGTATAGCCCACGAAGATCTCCTCCACCGCACGAGCCCGAGGGGGCGCAAATCCGAACAGGAAGATCACGTCTGTAACTCAACCCACTCTAGTGACGCACCCCTCCTAGGGACGGCATGGAAGAGCACTAGTAAGCTAGTGACTCAGCCCCCGTAATAGGGTCAAAGGCAGAGAATCCCAGTGGAGAGAGGGGAGCCGGCCAGGCAGAGACAGCAAGGGCGGTTCGTCGCTCCAGTGCCTTGCCGTTCACCTTCGCACCCCTGGGCCAGACTACTCTCAATCATAGGACCTACTGGCGCAGTGGTCGAAGGCACTGCATCGCAGTGCTAGCTGTGCCACTAGAGATCCTGGTTCGTATCCAGGCTCTGTCGTAGCCGGCCGCGACCGGGAGACCCATGGGGCGGCACACAATTGACCCAGCGTCGTCCAGGGTAGGGGAGGGAATGGCCGGCAGGG